TTCCACAGTCACTTCTCCCTGCTTAGTTCACCCCTCTTGTCCTGCCCCACGATACCCATCGTTCTGGGTGGCCACCCCATTTAGGCTCCAGATTGAAGCCGGATGCAAGACATATGAGGCCCACTTCGGTGCCCATGACTGTAGGGCTTCTAGCATTATGCCCGTACAGTTTCATCCAATTCCATCTAATTGTTAATAAGTTAGGACAATTTATCTATCTGGTCCTTAAGTTTTGCACACCAGTGTATTATATTACATATTTTATTACTAGGCTAAAAACCTGAGATGACCCATTTTGCGCCTCCATTGCCCGTTTGAGACCGGACACACAGCCTCCTTAGTGCGGAGTTTTTTTTGGAACTCATAATTTACCATACTGCCTTTGTGATTACAAATGACTGATTTTTCAGATTAGATCAACGGTCATCAATGCAGAGCAATCACGAAGTGAGACAGAGATGAAGAATCTTATTCTTCCTACTCTTTAGCGTTTGTCCACCCAGTGGCGGGGTCCGCTTTCGTGGTATCTTGACGCCACTTTTCCCGATTCTGTGCCTTATCGGAATGAAGGGCTAACTAATTTCGAGTCCTTATGCACGTATCGAGCCTTCAGTTTAGCTCCGCACGCTACCGCGCACGTAACACGGTAGGCTTCGTTGAAACTGGATAGCCTGTGGAACGTTAGGTCCCACCGCTAAAGAACGCAAACCTGAGTTGCATCGGGAAATGCGCTAGCCGACCTCCCCATAGCCTCTCCATTTTGCTGAAGCTCACCGCTTGATATGCGCGATAGAGTGCAGAGGTAAAGTGGTGTATGTAAACAACCACCATGCGTTGAATGTCAGGGTAATTTAGCGGTCGATGAATATTTCTTAAACATCCACAATACATTCCTAAGAACTTTGAAAAGAGTAGCGGTCGAATGTATTTCGAGACGATGATACGCGATGAAGAAGAAATGGAATGAGTTTGGTTCTTAGCTAGTATTTGGTTTCGAGCTATTTTTATGTCCTATGCCATTATCAGTCCTTATCACTTTCTCCAAACATGTTCCCGTCCCACCCTGCACATCACTTCTTGGAACCAACGCCCCACTGCTGCTGGGACGCGCGCTATGAATTTCGTGAAATTTGCGTTTGGCGCCTCTTATCAGCCCTTATCAGTCGTTATCACTTTTGACCCCCACCAAATATGTTCCCGTCCCACCCTACATCACTTCTTGGAACCAACGCCTCACTGATGCTGGACGCGCGCTATGAATTTCGTGACAAACGGACGCACACACACAGACATACTTAGCGAATTATATATAGTAGAATCATTCCTTCGGGCGTTCCTCTTGGCCGCATTCCTAGCCCGTAAAGTCTAGACCACTCTTACGGACACTGTTGTCATTGGCGCGAAGAATGTGACCGTGCCACCTTAGGCGAGCTTCGCCCATCTTATCATTGATGGGGACATAAGACACGATGACGAATGTTCGATATAATAGTGAACTACTACCTTTTTCCTTGCTGCCGATGCGGCTGCGTCGCCGTATGGATCCTTCGAGGACCATATCTCATATACGAGTACCTAAAGTGATTACTGTCATGAACAAAGGGGTGTTAGAAATAGAGTAGATCTGTCGGAACACATTGACGCACTCGGAGAAAAAGGTGGCGATCAGCATCGGCCAGTACTTTCTGTCACCCATGTTTCACTCGGGGAAAAAACGTGGTTGATACAGCATCACGATATTGAATTGACTACTTATGGTTGACTGTTTCGAATGAATCGATGCGCGACATTACTCCTTTTGCCACGCGGTTCTTACAAGGGAAGGATGGTAGGTCGAAGTGGCCGTTCAAAATGAAATGTATACCACCTGATGCGTCTCCAGACGCTGATTCCAAATCTGCCTTCCAAATCTGCTAAACGACTCTCCGAACGGAGTTATGAAGCGTAATAGCTCAGTGGTGATGGTCCGGGGTGGCAGGTAAAAGCTCGTAGGATCGGTTCCTTTGCAAGTTTGTTGCTTTGCTTTTGTCCGCAACACTTCTAGAGACAAAAGCAAAGCAACAAACTTGCAAAGGAACCGATCCTACGAGCTTTTACCTGCCACCCCGGACCATCACCACTGAGCTATTACGCTTCATAACTCCGTTCGGAGAGTCGTTTAGCAGATTTGGAAGGCAGATTTGGAATCAGCGTCTGGAGACGCATCAGGTGGTATACATCTCATTTTAAACGGCCACTTCGACCTACCATCCTTCCCTTGTTAGGCAAAATCTTAGACTAGAAGATGTTCAGCTCGTTTGTTTAATCTACTATAAGATTCTCGCAAATATAGAAATTTAGAAAACTGAATCTGTAGAAGTCCTAATGAGCTGGGATCGCTGTACATACAATTACCACTTGAGCAGAAGGAAGCATATCTAACATAATACACTACCAGTTGCAGCCCGTACGCATTGCGCGCGCAACACAGATCTGCTGCGAACTTTGATTGCGACAAAAATTTTCATATTTGGCTTGATACACTATGAATATCTGAATCCTCAGCTAAATTCAATCTGCTCCATCATCGACGGCTTTCACCGCTTTTTCTTCGTCAACCATTATTTTTCTCGGTCTCGGACGCTCCGGACAATAAATCTCGTGGCGAACTCCGTCTACTTCGGTGCGTGCCCCGCCCACCAATAGCATTTGGCCCCTTCCTTTCGCCGACCTCTACCCCCTTTTTTCACCGGTCTCTGGGACCTCTTGGAACCAAATTACGACACTTTTGGCAAACTCCGCCCAATTATGTGCATGCTCCGCCCACTAATAGCAGTTGACCTCCTTTCCTTTGCCGGCCTCTACTCCCTTTCTCCCGGCCTCCGGGACTTGTTGGGAGCCGAGTTATGAATTTCCGTCGCAAACTTCCGCCCACTTTGGTCAAGCCCCGCCCACCGATGACAGCTGGCCTCCACTCCTCCACCCACCTCTATCCACCTTTTTCCCGGCCTCCGGGACTTCTTGGAGCCGAGTTATAATTTTCGTCGCAAACTCCGCCCACTTTGGTCAAGCCCCGCCCACCATTGACAGCTGGCCTCCACTCCTCCATACACCTCTATCCACCTTTTTCCGGCTCTTTAAGACTTCCCCGACCCGAATTATGAGGGCTTGTAGAAAATGCTGTACACTTCAGAGCGCGCCCCGCCCATTCTGGGCGGGCCTCCGCCCACGTCATGTATGCAGGAAACACCTTAGACATTGCTCCCTTACACCAAATTGTTTTCTGCTCTGTAGGCTTTCTCCCAACCGAGTTATGAAATTTTTCATAAAGCACTGCTTTTTTAGAGAACGCCCCGCCCACCGGGGGTGGGTCTCCCTAATTCGATGTGACTTACCAATGCACACCTTTACCCACTTTTTGGCCCAGTTTCGAGGTCGTTTTGTCACTGAAATCGAAATCTTGGTCTTCGGTACAATTCATTTCGACGCACGCCACGCCCTCTGTGGGCGGGGCTCCGCTTAGCTGATGTGTGTTTTGTATTACGTGAGACCCTGCCCACCCATCCCACACTTGACCCGGTCCCTCCAGGTGGATCCCGAGGAGCTAGGGAATTTCGTGACAGACATACAGAACGACACACGACACACGACACACGACACACGACACACGACACACAGACGAAGCGCTTTATAGTAAGTAGGATTACAGGCACGCATATTGGGAAGCGGTTTTAGCAGTGCTCAGATTCGTAGAACACAGGTTTAGTCGACGATATGCCGGAGCTGTTTGAAGCAACAGGGCGACTCTTTGATTTACAGTTATGTGCTGAATTTGCATTGCGGTCTATAAATGCTATAGTTCAAGATAATATAGAATGAACTTGTTCAGACGCGTGAGCAGCTAGTTTGTTAGTTTCAAAGTGAGATAGATTGAAAGATTTTTCCTAACTTCTGGCTATTACAAAACTGTATTCTTCGCCTCCTAGAGAGCTGAACCGCTTTGATTGCTGCGAACGAGGTGGCACGCTCCCAAATTGGTTTTGGAATGATGATGGATGGTACTGCATATATCATCTATCTTTTTTGTTTGAGACACTTCTCGATGTAGCGTGATACATCTCGATAGCATAACTCTCAAGGTTTGAAAATAAAACTATTTTCTTATTATTCCATGAAATCGTTCCTTGTGTCGCTTTATGGGGCACAGAAGTCGAGGAAGGCTGTTCTATGCGAAGGATCCCCACAAAAACTCAGACTTTATTTGCGAGGGTGAGGTGGTAGATGGAACACTCTCTCGAACGAATATTTGTCAATGGGTGTTCGGCAGCCGGAGACAAATCCTTGACTCTTGTTCCCACCGTCACTGCACTCTACTCATCTACTGCTTAAAGCAGCTACGCAAACTTCTGAATCTAATCACTATCCTGAAGCGGCTTCTGTGGCTGCCGCCGCACAACTCCTGTAGTTGTGATACTACTCAGATTTCGCTTAAGATTCCGGTGAGCTGTGATACCTGAGGCAGAACTATCCGCGAAAACTGCTGCAGTAGGCTGGAGCTCATAGTGTAGTATGAATAGCTTAATGTTTGGAGAGTCTGGGCTGGAGGTGAAAAACGACATAAGGAGATCGTGTCGGTCATGTGAGTCTTCCACAGAATTTGGGAGCTAGTGCAAGGTCTCAGTACTCTCGTCTAACGCGTATGAGTGAAGCTCAAGGTTTGATTTATTAGTAACGTTGTAGAAACGAAGACTCTGTTGAGCTCGAACGTCGTAGAAAGCTCGCATGCGGAACCCAATACTGTTAAGGTAGGAAGCCACGTAGAGTCAGGTTAGCTTTCTTATTCCGTTTGATTCCCAGAATCATATTGCAAGAAGCATTCAGTAAAAAATTGACAAAAGTGATTAGTCAAGCGCTGAATGTAGAGTAGGAGAAGAGAAACTCCTGCATTCAACAACCCTAGACCCCTTCTGTACAATCATCATTGAAAACTTGAGCTTCTTGCTTCCATCAAATAGTCGTGATCATGCCTGCACATGACCAAGTCTCAAGGACTTTATTAGGTTAGCCCATCGTTTTAAGTGGACTATGAATATTTGGATGAAGACACCGGTGAAAATAAAGTTAATTGTGATTAATGCAAGTTGAATGTTGGTAAAAGCCTTATTCGGCACAGTCATGGAACAGGAAACCCTATCAAAGATGTAACGAACCCCATAAGAGTAGACATCAGTCTTCCTTGTGAAAATGAAGCTGACTATGCTTTCCGGTGCCATCCATCTGACCGGCATTTTCTTCGCTGTTTTCATTTTGTACTCAGTACCGATTCGCGACAGACCAAAATCCGAGATTTTTACCTGTATATTTATTTCGTGATGAGGAATTTGTAGAAATATTTGATCTTTCAGTCTTACCGCAGAGTCGTAATCGTAGAGGCAGTTGCGTGCTGCGATATCACGATGAAGTATGTTTGACTTGTGAAGGTACTCAATACCCCATGCAGCTCCTAACGACATTTGAATCTTTTCAGTCTTCGTTATTGTCTCCTTGTTTTTCCTCAAATACGTTTTGAGAGCACCTCCTAAATGGAAATTATGATGGCGAATTCCTAGTAGACCCAGTAGAGAATATTCACTCACCAGCAACGTATTCTAGTAAAATATAAAGCGGTTGATCAAGCAATCCAACGCCGTAGAGATTTACTACATTCGGATGCTGTAGACCCCGCATCAGTCGGGCCTCCTTCATCACTTCCTTTATTAGGTCTTTAGATATGTCGGTATCGGTTTTGATCTGAAAACAGACTTTGTTTTTCTGTTTATTCTGAAGCCACATCACAATTCTTAGATTCGCACACGTCAACCACCCTCCTGTGTCTCTGTGTGGATGGAATGGTCTGGCAGGCACGATTTACTCCCATAGGGGAAAGTGATGCACACTGTCTCCATTGCACCATATGTTACGGAATTGTTTTCAGCTCTTGAGCGTTGCTCAGGTACGAGACACACTAGCAAGGGTATTGACCAAGTCTGGGCCATCATCATTTCTTTATCATGTGATGACTCGGATGAGTATCAGTTACCTCGAATACATAGTTCATTACGAACACTTTTCCTGGAGCCGAGAAACGAAAAAAAAACATGAGAAAAACGATGCTGGAAGCCGAAGATCTGTCTAAAGTTCACTGGCACCTGCGAATCCTGTGCTCCGCGAGATCCACGATGCCATAGTTTTGTGGGTCAAGATCCAAGCGAGCTGCGAAAAGTGTGGAGGTGTAAGTGATGCAGCTTGCTCACAATGAAGTTTCCTTCAAGAGACACTACTGTATTTGAAGGCAAAGTTAATTATCTCTGAGGCCGGGTGCAGCAAGCCCCAATTCGTGGATTGGTTCCCGAAACTCTTGGGCGCTTCCCCTAATTTTGACCGTTGCGTCATCAACCAGACTAGAGACGCAGAGTTTAGGGGACCCATCCCGAGTTGGGGCTTGCCGCATCCGGCTCGGACTAAATTAAGATCTTCCCCATCGGAAATGCAGCGGTACGCTAGCGCGCAGGATGTTCGGAAGTGGCGGGTTGTTTTGACAAGGATAAGGCGCTAATTGTGGTAGCCAAGGACGGTGGATTAGTGCCTCCCTAACCCCCACCTGGGCCCGCCCACCTTTCCACGTGACCTTCCATAGAATCACCTGGAACACTAGTTGTTGACTATTGTTTGGAAGTTCGTAGGAGAATATTCGGCGGATTCAAGTTGCAAATTTCAACATCGAAGCCTATACTTTCGACAATTGTCGAGAAGGTAATTATTCTGTCAGGGGAATGATATGCACGCCTCAAGAGATCAGCTGATCTAAGCACGATTGGTCGAGTAGGCGGTGGTTGTTGATCGTGTGATCATGGGAGACCGCCTCGCCAGAGCAACTGATTAGCGCGGGAAGGTCCCAATAAAAGGGGTCCGGGTTCCTTTGTAGTATCTCCAGTTCCAGTTCCAGAGCTCCGGTGTTCCAGAGCTCTGGTGTTCCAGAATTCCAGCGTTCCAGTGTTCCGGTGGCATCTGTGTGGTGCCTTAGTGTGTAGTTGGTTGTGAGCTGTACGGCAATTAGGTGTAGTTGGTTGTGAGCTGTACGGCCCGTAAGAAAGAGGGCCCAGGCTCAGAAGTAGCCTTAGTGGCGAGGTGACAAGAGCCTCAGTGGCTCAGTGGTTTGGCCTCAGTGGCCTGTTGGGAAGGAGCCTCAGTGGCTCAGAGGAAAGAGCTTTCGTGGCTCATCAAAGAAAAGGGATTGCGCCGTGCACCTGGCTGCCGACCTCGGCTCAAGGTACCCGGTCCAGTCGATCCAATTCGCCTACCGTCCTACTGTGATCTTTGTTATTCATGTCTTTTGTTGATTTTTCTGATCTAATAAACCTTCCTATCTGCCCTTGTCTCAAGCACAGTTACCAAGGGTTACTCCAACGTCGCAGCAATCGATATGCCGTTACTACCTACAATCCTTCTATTTTATAAAGCGCTAACTTTGTGTGTCGGTTTGTGTATCTGTATGTGTGTGTGTGTGTATGTATGTATGTGTGTCCGTCCGCAAAATGAAGTGAGTGAGAAGGAAGCTCATGGGATAAACAAACCGCTAACAAATCGGGTAGCTTACAGGATTTGAGATATCAATGTTTTGTAGCAGGATAGTTGTGATAACACTCTTAGGGCTATATAAACACCTGCTTAGCACACTTCCGTTCATTCCACATGGTGCTGCAGTGGCAGCTGGAGGGCAGTGGAGAGAGGAAGGGAGGATGAGGAAGGGAAGCGAAAAATCTACCGTCATATCATGATTGTGTCCCTTCTACTGTATGAAACACCATTGTGTTGCATACGCGTCACTTCCAGAGGTGTTGGTGTCACAGGAGGAAGGGACCATAGCGGAGGATAGAAAGCTTGCGCAGGAAAGGAAGGTCCCGGCGGTTGACGGGGGACTAATCTGGTATTATAAAAAAGAATTAAAATTCCAAAGATTCACCGCGAAGCAACAAAGTAGAAATGAATAGTGCAGAGAAAATAAGAAAACTAGAGCAATCAACTTTATCGTTGAGGTTATATAGCCTTGACGATTGATGGCATTGAGCCAGCGCTGCTGCAAACACGTCCAGACATGTACGTCTTCCATCTCTGGCTTGTAAGCAGCTAACAACTAAGAGGAAGTTCTAATTTGGACTTCTTTGGAAGTTTCTGCTCTTTCTTCAACTTCGACACTTAGCATTCAGTGCTTCATACTTGACAGGTAACTCTTAATTATATCTTGGAGCTTGCCTTTAACCACCGCCATCCATAACTCCACAAGCTTAGTTCAACTAGGCGATTTCTTTATGCCCCAATCAATCTGCCGGCTTTTTTGGTAAAACAGAGATGTGCACTGTCCGTACAAAAGGTCAAACTAATGTTTCAATTCGGCGTTCTACAACTGGTTTGCTCTTCGCATAATCGTTGCGCCTGTTACAATGTTTCATTGATTGTAGATCATGAAGCACTTGATGTGACAAGGCAGCAATCATGATATTGTGAATATTGGTCGTTGTGTGTTGATGTATGACGCAGAAGCGCCAATTCGTGCAGCACCGATGAGAAACTCAACGAAATTGTGGAAATTGATACGGTGGACTGATATTCTGGCCGGTGTTCTGAACCCAAAAAAATCACAACCAAGGGAGGGTTCCTCTGTACGACGGCTACACGATCAAAGATACAAAGCGATAAGGGAGGGACGCGATTGCTCGTTACAAACTGAACCTTCGAAGTGAACTGCGAACGACAACGGCGACATCACAGTTGTAAGACGGACGTTACTATCCCTCTGGCATATTCGAAGCCCAATCAGCCTCTTATCTGCGATCAGTACCATTATGTGCCCCTTTGTGTCAGAGTCATGCCACTCTTGTGCAGATTAAAACTCTTTCCACCTGCAACCTTCTTCTCATATCTATACCGAAACTGGGATCGCTGGGATCGGTCTTCCATTCTGAAAGTGTCTTACATTCTAGCATTGTTTGTTATGTTGTTTTTTTGCTTTTCTTCTACTTACGTTGTAGCTCTTATCGTTAGTGATTATAATAGATGTTCTTAGGAACTGTTCCTTTTGGCTGTTTGTTTGTTACTTCTGGGTTTTTACGCTTTTCGTTGTTTTTGGAATGAGCGTCCATAACAATGAAACGAAGTGTGCTAAGACATGTGTTTATATAGCCCTGAGAAGCTGTCCTAGTACAATACAAAACTATCCAATCTAGCATACTATCAACCACGATAAATCACTGATATCTCGAAATCCTGTGGAGCTACACCGATTTGTTACGTTTGTTTATCCCCATGAAAGCTTCTTCTCACTTCACTCTCCCTTTTGCGGACGCCTGTCTTCACCACAAGAATTACTACATAGCAGTCAACAATCAACGCACCACACTTTTACAGCCTTTCGCTGACACAGACACACACATCAGCGAGATATCCCATACACTCTACGCATGAACCATCGACGAGCCAAGTTATATCGCGCTAGAACGATTGGCTTTAAACTATATCACAGGTTATGTCGACTTGCTATCTAGTTAATTCGAAAATCTCTTTCCAATCGAAGAGCCATCTCTGAGATCACCTAATAAGTCGTTGTGGTGGCATTGAAGCCGCTGCTGAATACATACAGTACATTGAATATTGCTGTTCTGCTAGATACCCTCAGAGTTGTTTAGGCAGTACGAGACTCCTCGATCCGCACATATTTCTCTTCAGCATCAACCATACGAAAACATGTAATTCTTCTCTGTGAATAGTTACCAAGCATTTCATACCGAGTCAGCGGTCCTTAACGGATTATGTCCTCGGTCTACGGTCTCTAATAATATTTGGACATATGTATAGATTCCCAGGTAACCAGTTTCAAGGTCAACGAGCTAGACTACAACTACTGCGCAGTTAACACCCCAGAACAGGAGAGCGTATATAACTTTCGCACCAACAGAACCTCTTTCACCCGTTACTCCTATTTTTTTAAATTTTCACGAGTACTCCGCCAAATGATCATTTTGGCGTATTTACTGGTTTCGCCGCCAAACTATCTACTTGCGAGTAAGATACCATACAACTTAAAGATGGGCAGAAGTACGGCGAGCGGCCACATGCATGTTCTTCAAATCGCCACACGTGCTGACGCGGATTCTCTTTCACTGAGGGTCATCTCTCACTGAAAGATCTCCGAGCCGGTGTGGCTCTGCGTCAGACATCGTGCGCTGCTCGGACCGACATTGACTTTTTTTTCTTCTAGAATAGCGAGATCAGGGGTAAACCTCTCGCACAAGCCCGCGACCTGTGACTAGGAGACACGACAATAAGCCACAGCCATATGCTTATCTGACGGCGTTGTGGCTTCGCCTCCAGCCAAGAACTGGATTCCGGGGTGAACTCTCTCGGATTTTCTGCTATAGATATACTGCTGATGTTTGATACTTATGCTCAGAGGCCGGTCTCCACTACTATAGAGCCAAGGAGACCAACAACTGTGGCATTCATCTCCGCATAAAATTGCGTACTGTTTGTTGAACAGACTCTGTAAATAGCTGATATTGTATATCGAGTCGCGCCGTCCCCACGGTGCCTTGAGCCCAGTTCAGCTGGCAAACATCCGCGATCTAATACTGTCCATGTTACAGCTGCAGCGTAGCAACCTAGCCAATTAGAGCTCGTCGATTGAGAATTACAGCGAAATATACCGGAGAGCCGCAATATTGGGCGCTCCCAACGAAATATATGTGCCCCGTTCGTATCGAGCGTACTCGAGGTAGCCATAGCGTGTGCTGAGCTCATAGCCACTACATGAACGAAGCGTAGTAGTTCAATATTCCAGCCCGTCAGGCTCAAACGCTTCGGGAGTTCTTACTGCTTAAGTTCGAAAACCCTGGTCCAAGTGGGGCCTTCTCGGATTTTTGGTGGAACACGAGAGGAGTTAAGCTCTGGAAACCCCTACGTGTAGATGTCGCAGTCAACGCGGAAGTCAACTATCCACAGCTCGATTGCAACGCTTTTAATACGAAAGAAAAACAAGGCAAAGTTTGCTTTTGTATGACACCG